ATTCATGCAACAACATGGGTGAATCTCAAAGGCATTCTGCTGAATGAAAGAAGACACAAAGGACTACATATGGTATGATTCCATTTATCTGAAGTTCAAGAAAAGGCAGAATTTATAGTGACAACAGGTTAGTTGTTGCCAGGGGCTGGGGATTGACTGCAGAGGGACGTGGGGAGCTTTCTGGAATGATGGGACAGTTCTATCTCATGATTGTGGTGGTGGTTACATAACTATATGTTTGTCAAATCTCATCAAATTACACATCTAAGAGTGGTAAGTATGGATTCTATACCCCATTAATCTGACTAAAAGAAAAAAATGTAGATTTGGATTTGTGGGTATTCACTGTAAAAGTTTTTCAAACCTGTTTTATGTTCCATTATTTTCATTTTAACGTTTTTCAAAAGATACGAACTTGAGATGAAATTCACCAGAGAAGAATACTCCAAATTTTATGGCCTGAGTTATTGTTCACAAGGGTTCCCTTCAAGTGACCTGCTTAGGGTAAGTAGCAACAGGGATTTACTATTTATATATTTATATAGTAGTTTTATATATGTATATATGAATGTACTTACTATCTGATTATTACTTAATGGTTTTCTTAAGCAGCTACGGGAATGAGGGTAGGGTTGGAATGAGGAGGAAACTTTGCTAAGTAATCCATTCATATGGGCTGAATTATATGATATCAATAAATATAAATTGATGAAGACCATTTTATTGTATAATCCCATCTGCTGCCTCCCTCAACAATCAGGAAGACTTATCAGTAGAACATAACTTTAAAATGTTGTAGGGGCTGGATGCCTGGGTGGCTCAGTGAGTTAAGCGTCTGCCTTCAGCTCAGGTCATGATCCCAGGGTCCTGGGATCGAGTCCCATGTTAGGCTCCTTGCTCGGCGGGGAGCCTGCTTCTCCCTCTGCCTCTGCCCACCGCTCCCCCTCCTTGTGCTCTCTCTCGCTCTCTCTCTGACAGATAGATAAATAAAATCTTTAAAAAAAACCAACATTGTAGGGGCCCCTGGCTGGCTCAGTCAATGGAACATGCTGCTCATGTCTCTGGGTCATGAGTTCAAGCTCCATGTTGGTCATAGAGTTTATATTACAAAATAATAATAAGATAAAATGTTATAAAAGGAATTAAGATCGTATTGAAATGCAGCTATAGAAGATACCCATGGTTGATTTTCTCTCTTCAAGAGCCGTGGTTTTGTAACAGTTTAGAGCGGTCCCTTTTGCATGGCATCCTCACTAATGCAACATTGCCAAAACCAAAACCCCTTTCATTTACTACTCACAAAAATAGAGTGTCTCCTTTGTAATTATGACTTTCATTTTGACATCTACTCGTGCTTAGGAAAGGGCAAGTCTACTTTTTAAGCAAAGACCAGCCTTGCTGGTACAAAGGTGTATAAGCTGAGGGTGGCATCCTTTGAAGCTTTTGGAGTGATAACTTTTTTCCTAATGATCCCTTAACATACTTAGTTATTTGTCTTTATGCGATAGGTCTAGGGCTGACAAACTGTAAAGGGCCGGAGAGTAAATATTTTAGGCTTGAGGGCCACCTGGTCTCTGTCTCTCAGCCCCTCTGCTGCAGCAAGCAGCCACAGGTAACATACAAACGAATGAGAACAGCTGTGTTTTAATAAAATTTCATTTACAAAAACATGTATTGGGCTGGGTTTGACCTGAGACAGAGTTTGCCAACCCTGGCTGTAGATGATAAATACCCCCCAAAACAAATCTGCTACTTGTTGTGACAAAGAGTTTATATAATCAAATAACCCAGGTACTTCTATGAAGAAAACTAATACTGAATGATAACAGTGGGACTCAGGAAATGCTACCCCAAAATACAGCAGGTTGGCATATTGCAGATTTCAAGCTGGAGGAATTTAAGAAATGGCATGTTCAGGAAAGACTTTCTGACCTTCCTCTGAAGCAGGTCATAAAACCCATCTGTGACAGTGGTAGAGCATGCAACTCTCCATCTTGGGGTTGTGAGTTCAAGCCCCATGTTGGGTGTAGAGCTTACCTAAAAAGTAAAGTAAGACCCTCTTGTGAGGGGCACCTGGGTGGCTCAGTCGTTAAGCATCTGCCTTTGGATCAGGTCATGATCCCAGGATCCTGGGATGGAGTCCCACATTGGGCTCCCTGCTCAGCGGGGAGTCTGCTTCTCCCTCTACCCCTCCCCCTGCACATGCTCTGTCTCTCTCTCAAATAAATAAAATCTTTTTTTTTTTTAAAGATTTTATTTATTTATTTGAGAGAGAGAATGAGATAGAGAGAGCATGAGAGGGGGGAGGGGCAGAGGGAGAAGCAGACTCCTCGCTGAGCAGGGAGCCCGATGCGGGACTCGATCCTGGGACTCCAGGATCATGACCTGAGCCGAAGGCAGTCGCTTAACCAACTGAGCCACCCAGGCGCCCTCAAATAAATAAAATCTTAAAAAAAAAAAAAAAAGACCCTCTTGTGAGAAGTGCTCCCCCGCCCCACCATAACCGGAGAATATATTTTAGCTTTGCTAGGTTTCCCCGCATTACCAGGATAATTACCATTATCCTTTGTCCTATCATATCTTTCCACGACTTTCCACTCTTCATCAGACCTAGCATAAAAACACTCAGGCTTAGCTGTTTCTTCAGGTCTTCATTTCCTTATGAAGACATCCCCATCACATAAAACTTATATTAAATAAATGTGTATGCTTTTCTCTTATTAATTTGTCTTTTGTTACAGGGGGTCTCAGTCGAAACCTTAAAAAGGTAGAGGAAAAAGGTATTTTCCTCCCTTACAATAATGAAATGTTCGTCAGAAAGTTTCCAGATCAGTAAATCAGGGTATGCATATTCTGGGACTGTATATGATTAACTGGTATACAAAAATCTCTAATTTCTAGAAAATATGAAGATATTTGTTCAAGTTGGTTTACAAGATATTTCACATAGTTGATTTTGACTTTGCTTGGTAAAGTGTACCTTAGTAACAAATGTGAAATTCAGATAGTAGGTATTACTTTTACTTTGGTTACCCTGCTATTATAAGATTACACATTTTTGGGGTGCCTGGGTGGCTCAGTCATTAAAGCGTCTGCCTTCAGCTCAGGTCATGATCCCAGGGTCCTGGGTTCGAGACCCACGTCGGGTTCCCTGCTCGGCGGGAAGCCTGCTTCTACCTCTCCCACTCCCCCTGCTTGTGTTGCCTCTCTCTCTGTGTCTCTGTCTGTCAAATAAATAAAATCTTTTTTTTAAGCATCTGCCTTTGGATCAGGTCATGATCCCAGGATCCTGGGATGGAGTCTTTTTTTTAAAAAATATTTTATTTTATTTATTTGACAGAGACAGAGCGAGAGAGGGAACACAAGCAGGGGGAGTGGGAGAGGGAGGAGCAGGCTTCCCGCCGAGCAGGGAGCCCGACGCGAGGCTCGATCCCAGGACCCTGGGACCATGACCTGAGCCGAAGGCAGATGCTTAACGACTGAGCCACCCAGGCGCCCCAAATAAATAAAATCTTAAAAAAAAAAAAAAAATAGAAGAGCTGAGTCCTTGCCCTCAAGATCTTATCATTCAAATTAAATAAATATATTTTAACAAGTGGAAACAAGACCAGGGTGCCTGGCTGCCCCAGTTGGTGGAATGGGCAACTCTTGATCTCAGGGTCATGGGTTCAAACCCCGCATTGGGTGTTTTTACTTAAAAATAATAATAATAATATTTATTTCTTAGTGAGAGAAGTTTCTAGCTGCCCCTTGGGATAACTGAGGATAGAAAAATTACCCCCAAGCAGATCACTCTTGTTTTGTGTAGAATAATTTGAGACATTGCCTTTAGTTCTGTAAATGTGGTGAGTAGACGCCATTGTTCTGATACTTAATGCTTAACGGTAGTTGTTATAATGTTAACAGTAACTTGTATCAATGACATAGGGCCTCACCATGCAAAACTCTTTGTTGGGGAGGAAGCTGACCAGCTTTCCTAAGAGGAGCCTCTTCACACTGGTAGGTAGTTTGTATATGCTATTTAATTTTTAATTTTTAAAAATTATTTATTTATTTATTTGACAGAGAGAGACACAGCGAGAGAGGGAACACAAGCAGGGGGAGTGGGAGAGGGAGAAGCAGGCTTCCTGCTGAGCAGGGAACCCGATGTGGGTCTCGAACCCAGGACCCTGGGATCATGACCTGAGCCGAAGGCAGACGCTTAACGACTGAGCCACCCAGGCGCCCCCAATTTTTAATTTTTTAATTTAATTTTTATTTAAATTTAGCTAAAATGTATTAAAAGATTTAAATGCATTTTGCTTAATCTTCATAACAACCCTGAAGTAAGTGTAACAAATGAAAAAGCTGAGATCTAACTCTAACAGAGTTTGAATAATTGACCCAAGACCATGGAGCTTATAAGTTGCTGATCTGGGATTCAAACTGGTCTCAAGACTTTGCCATCTCACCATGCTGAATGGTGATGAACTATCACGAAATTGTAACCCCACCAGCAAGAACTGTGGAGGCCAAAGCCCAGTGGCAGGTGGCACTGAGTAAGTCATATGGCTGTTGGGCATCTTTGTTTCATCTCTTATAAACAGAAGGGATTAATAATCAGTGGTTCCCCCAAACCAGAACTTGAATCAAAGTTTGCACTTGTCCATCACAAAATTAGAAAAACAAGGAAAGTGTAGCTTTCCCTTGGAGCTACAATTCATTCTACTTAAAGAATTTTCCTTTGATCTAAGATTTATGTTCTTCCTACATGTTTTGGTGTTATAGTGTCCTTCATATAATAAGATACTGGGAGTAGACTCTTTTTTTTTTTTTTTTTAAGATTTTATTTATTTATTTGCCAGAGAGAGAGAGAGAGAGAGCAAGAGAGCTTAAGAATACAAGCACGGGGAGTGGCAGGCAGAAGGAGAAGCAGGCTTCCTGCAGAGCAGGGAGCCCGATGCGGGGCTCAATCCCAAGACCCTGGGATCATGACCTGAGCCGAAGGCAGACGCTTAACGACTGAGCCACCCAGGCGCCCCATCTTTTTTAATATCCTTATTGAAGAAAGTGAAATGTTGGTACTTTAGTTTTGGTTTCCCCCCATTTTTTTTTTGCCTATAAAATCCCGAAGTTTGGAAATCATCGTTCTAATTACACACAAACTAGTAGGTCGAATATTGATTGTTAGGGCTTTGTTAGGGCTACAGATTTTTTTTCATTAAAACATGTTTTTCAGTTTGAAAAATCTGGTCTATACATAAAGCCTATTATTGAAAGAAAGCTAAAACTTCCAACAGAGCAAAGAGTGAGACTAGTATTCGGTCACAGAGCGGGCCCTTTAAAGAGATCAGGGGGATGTTGTACAAGTCCTCTCAAACGTGGATTTAAATTAATTGCCCACATATAAAATTTGGGGAATTCTACAGATGAATGCAGATTTTCAGCTTCTCTGGAAATTAGATCTATCAATTTCAGTTCTTCGTTGTTGCTGGACCTGAGTGGCCACTACCCCGAACCCTTCTAATCTGCCACCACTCTGTTCTTTCTGCTGTGCCCCGTGTTGCCTGGTCACCCATGGGTGTCATCTCAGTCCTACGGGCCTTGTCCCTCGCAGCCTCCTGCAGTGTGGGACCTGGACCACAGCACTGGCCTCACCTGGGAGGTGGTGAGAAAGCAGAAGCTCAGGCTCCACCCAAACCTATCGAATCAGAATCTGCATTTTGACAAGATCTGCAGAAGATTACTACACAGATTAAAGATTGCCGAGCCTTGCCCACAATGATCCCCAAGCTCCTTTCCCAGCAAGATTCGGAACACTGACCACTGGCGGAGCCCTGGTCTGCTCACCATGGTAACAGGTACCATGCTCAGTCATCAGAGTGGGAAGGCCGGATAAAATCATATATTAAAGTAGCCGAAATTATGAGGATGAATATACAAATGAGTAGGGGGTGCTGGGGGGGCTAGATGAGTGTCCACGGGAGTGATATTGATGTTGGGGTGGCGGGGGGAGGAAGGCAGATGGAGCAGGGCCTCAGGAGGAAAAAATGTCCAGAACGAGGTGTTCAGAGTTCGTGGGGAGGGAACGGTGAACATCACTGGTTGACTGGAGCGGAGGGCCTGATTTGGAGATATTAAGAGAGAAATAAGATTCGAACATAGAATGGACATAGACTGAAGCTTAGACTTCAAGGCCAAGATATATGGACTTTGTTCTCTTTATAGTGAGAAACCACTGGAAGCTATGGAGTCTCAATACCAGGGTTATCGAGAAGGTCAATGGTCTGACAGATTGTGCACGTTCAGTGGGCTTTATTTTAAAGGGACACATTCACAATGGGTTTATGTATATGCCTAGCCATGGGCAAAGCCATTTCCTTAAAGTATGACATGTTTTCTATCTTTTCTACCTGTACCGACACTTTGTCCTCTGATCTGTGTTCTCAGAGACCCTGATCCAGTGCCCAAAGCCGTGCTATTTCCTGGCTTTAAGTCAGGCCTCGCTAAAGAGGGTCCCTCAACGGTCAGGGCGACATAGAGCCCCGCCCATTCCCAGAACACTGGGTTTGGCCTAGGAGTGGAGGGACTCACTCAATACCAACAACCACATTTCCCCAACTTTAGATTGCAGAGAATGGCATTTGTGTCCCAGTGAAGTTCTAACACACAATGTTCTCAGATGATGGTAGCTCGTGATTCTTGCTCTTTGAATTTGGAGCAAGATGCTTTGTGGCAGGACAGTGTCTCCCGGTGCTGATAATTACACGTTTTCCGGGGCAGCTCAGTGTATCTGAATTTGAAGTATTTGTCACAGGGTAGGGATCTTGGCATTTAACTGTTGGGTGACCTTTTTTTTTTTTTTTTTTTTTTTAAGATTTTATTTATTTGCGAGAGAGAGAATGAGAGACAGAGAGCATGAGAGGGGGGAGGTCAGAGGCAGAAGCAGACTCCCCGCCGAGCAGGGAGCCTGATGCGGGACTCGATCCCGGGACTCCAGGATCATGACCTGAGCCGAAGGCAGTCGCCTAACCAACTGAGCCACCCAGGCGCCCGGGTGACCTTTTTCAATAGAACTTTGTTAAAGACCAGATATTATGGGTCATTATTTCTTTTGTGATTCTGGACTTTTTTTTTTTTTTTTTTGAGAACTGTCTTTAAAAGCAGGAAAGCATTGAGACACCCAAGGGTTCAAACACTTTATAAATCAGCCCATTACACTGTGGATTCAATTATACTGTTGGCCAGTGATGTCACATAAGGACATTATTATGCTTTTTTTTGTTTGTGTATCTGTTGTTTTTTCACGTCTGGAGGATAGGCCACCAGGAAGGCACAGTGGCGAAGTATTACGATTAACAGCAGTTGCTTTGGGTTGACCATAGCCACTGAGATCCCCTGGCCGTGGTTGTCACAAATTTGGGCCTGAGATGCACAGAAACATGCCTTTCGTCAGGTTGACGCACCAACTCAGGGCTGCACCTGGCCCTGTAAGTGCCTGTTGGGAATACAGATTAAACATTGTTAGAACTCAACAACAAAAAAAAATCAAATACCCTGATTAAAAAAGGGGCAAAGCACTTGAAGAGACATTTCTCCAAAGATGATACACAAATGCCAGCAAGCATATGAAAAAGATACTCAATAACCATCAGGAAAGCACAAATCAAAACCACAATAAGGGGTGCCTGGGTGGCTCAGTCGTTAAGCGTCTGCCTTCGGCTCAGGTCATGGTCCCAGGGTCCTGGGATCGAGCCCTGCATCGGGTTCCCTGCTCAGCCGGGAGCCTGCTTCTCCCTCTCCCACTCCCCCTGCTTATGTTCCCTCTCTTGCTGTGTCTCTCTCTGTCAAATAAATAAAATCTTTAAAAAAATAAAAAATAACATATCACCTCACATCCATTAGGTTGGCTACTATAAAAACAAAACAAAACAGAAAATAATGAGTATTGGCAAGGGTGTGGAGGAACTGGATCCCTTGTGCGCTGTTGGTGAGATTATATAACGGTGCAACTGCTATGGAAAGCAGTATGGAGTTTCCTCAAAAAATTACAACTGGAATTCCCATATGATCCAACAATCCCACATCTGGATACAGATCCACAAAAACTAAAAGTAGGCTCTTGAAGACATATTTGCACAACCACGTTCATAAGGCTAGCCTTCACAATACTCAAAAGATGGAAGCAGCCCAAATATCTGACAGGTGAATGGATAAGCAAAATGTGGTATTATGTGCAATGGGATGTCATTCAGTTTTTAAAAGGGAGGGGCGCCTGGGTGGCTCAGTTGGTTAAGCGACTGCCTTCGGCTCAGGTCATGATCCTGGAGTCCCGGGATCGAGTCCCACATCGGGCTCCCTGTTCAGCAGGGAGTCTGCTTCTCCCTCTGACCCTCCTCCCTCTCATGCTCTCTGTCTCTCATTCTCTCTCTCGCAAATAAAAAAAAAAAAAAAAAAAAAAAGGGAAGGAGATTCTGACCCAGGCTACACCATGGATGGACCTCAAGGACATTATCCCAAGAGAAATAAGCCAGTCACAAAAAGACAACTACTGTGTGATTCCATTTCTATGAGGTACCAAGAGTGGTCCCATTCATGGAGACAGAAAAGAGAATGGTGGTTACCAAGGGCTGGGGGTGGGGGGAAGAGAAAAGTTGTTTAATGGGTGTGTAAAGCTTCAGACTTGCAAGACGAAACAATTTCTGGAGATCGGTTTCACAACAATGGGAATACACTTAACATTACTGAACCATACGCTTAAAAATGATAAGACGGCATATCTTACATGTTTTTTCATCACCTTTGAAAAAAACGTTCAGCACGTGATAAGATTAATTGCATTAATATCCCAGGTAATGGCTTCCCTGTATCCATGTCCTTTGCCCCAGAACTTCACATGTGGACTCTGGGCTTGGTACATACAGGACAGTCCAAAAGGGGCTATGTCACTTCTGAGGCTGGTCCCAAAAAACATGGAGTTGCTGCCTTGCTTTCTTTCTTTGGATGGGACCCTCACATATGGGACCGAGCCAGAATGCTATGAGGAAGCCCGAAGTAGCCCATATGGAATGACCACGTGGAGAGAACTGAACCCCACTGGCTGATGGCCAGCGTCAACTTCACCAAAAAGCTAGATGGATGGCAAGTAAGCCCTGAAAAGATACTCAAGATCATTAGTAATTAGGGATGTACAAATCAAAATCACAATGAAATACCACTCCCTACCTACTAGAATCACTAAAATGAAACCTAGTGAACATTACAAGTGCTGGCAAGGATGTGCAGGAACTAGGGCTCTCATATACTGCTAAGGGTAATATAAAATGGTGCAGCCACTTTCTGAGACAGTTTGGTGGTTCCTTAAAAGGTTAAACATATACCTCCCATATGATCCAGCCATCCCGCTCCTAGGTATTTACCCAAAAGAAAAGAAAGCCATATCCTTACAAAGACCTGTATGTGATTGTTCATAGCAGTTTTATTTATCATAGTAAAAAACTGGGGAAAAAAACAGCAAGTGTTCAGTTTTAAGATTTTATTTATTTACTTGAGAGAGAGAAAGAGAGCATGAGCAGGGGAGAGGGCAGAGGGAGAAGGAGAAGGAGATTCCCCGCTGAGCAGGGAGCCTGATGCAGGGCTCAGTCCCAGGACCCTGAGATCATGACCTGAGCTGCAGGCAGATGCTTAACAGACTGAGCCACCCAGGTGCCCCCCCAAGTGTTCAGTTATAAACAATGATACATTCATACTATGGAATTCTACTCAGAGGTAAAAAGGAATGTGCTAAACAACCACGAGACCGCACTTTACTCCTAACCTCTAAAATAGTAACAACACTAAATGTCAGTAAGGAAGTAGAGCAAGAACTCTTATTCATTGCTGTTGGGGGGGGTGGGGGTGGAAAATGGTACAGCCACTTGGGAAGACCATCTGGCAGTCCTGCAGGTGATGGACATGTTCATTCTGATCGTGGTGATGGTTTCATGGGTGCATACACATGTTAAACCTTACCAAATTATATACTTTAAATGAGTTCGGTTTATTGTATGTCAGTTACCCTCCAGTAAAGCCATTTTTCAAAGGCCAGAACCAAACAGTAACCCAACCATTTATTAATTTTCATGACACAACAATTGACAGGCAGCTTGGCTGACCTGGACTAGGTAGCCTCCACCGATCCCGGCTGGGCTTCCTCAAGGGTCTGTGGTCAGTTGGCCGGCTGCCTGGGCATGGCTGGTCTAGGGACCCTAAATGCACAGATTTCACACTCCTTCCCACATCTCCCACATCCCTCCTTTACCCTTCAGCGGGCCAGCCTGGGCATAATCTCATGGTGATGGCAAAGGTCCAAAAGAGGAGCAGGAATGCACAAGAAATTTTTAAAGCTGCCTTTTGTGTTAAGTTTGTTATTGTCCCATTGGCCAAAGCTAGCCACATGTCCAAGCCCAGGCTCAGTGTGTTAAGGGTCTAAGAAATGAATGGGGAAAAGGCATGTGTACAGGGATGCAATTCATGCATCATGTACCTCAACAGTGTTTTAATTTATATTTCTTTAATTCCATCAAGAAAGTACTTTTATGCCACGACTTTTATGTGATGTTAATTTCTTATATATAATTTGCAACCTCTTTTAATCTCCTATTGAATGTAATTTAGCTATTGATTTGTATGTTTGCATTAATTCTTTGTATATGAAACATAGTAAGGCTTTGTTGTGACATTTGTCATGCTCTCATATTCTGTTCACATTTCTTTTGCCATTTGGGGGGTTATATTTGGTCATAAAAATGTTTTAAAATAGTCTAACTTTCAGCAAAAAACATGTTTAAAGAGTCTCCTCTGATTTCAGTGGTGATGTAAG